ACAAACGGAGTGACGAACTTTACATACCCTCCATACTATGTATATAAATTGGATTTTCTTTCATATTCACTTTTGTATCAATGCACAGCAACAGGCCCTTGGGCTTGAAAAGTATTACCCGACACACTGTAGTATTATAATGAAGAAGATACACATTGAGAGAGTCAAAGAGAAGCGGTTTTATTTGTTTTATGCTCACTGAGTATCGAATTCTCGCAGTGCTACTAAAAACCTAACATGAGATAGTTAAATTATTGCTTTGTAGTTGTTGTCAGTTGTTAGCAATTCTCATTATACGAATTCTTCTCTCATACATTCTTTCTTTCCCCGTATTCTTCAGGAGGAGAGAGTGGTTGGCGAGCAGTTACAGCTGGCTGCTTTAGAATATTATTCTTATCTTTGTGCCTCCCGTTCTCAACAAATCAGTTTTTGAATTGTCAGACGTCATAAATTTGTTATAGATTCCATTGGGGGGGAATCAATTACATCTTGTGAAGACAAAATTCATATGTACATGAAATATGTGTGTACTCACGTTGTCAAGTGTCTAAAATTTTAATGACCCCATGCCACTTGCTCAATGTGTGCATTACAGAGAGTGCAGTATGGTAGGCACAAACATACATACGTTCGTACACATGAGTGAGTGCATCAATACAGTAGAATCTACTGTAGATACATTTGTTTGTTTATCTCATAGTTTGCATATTATCATCTCTTTCGTTCGGTAATATTTTAATGTTTTTTTACAGTGCATTCAAAAGGATTGTCTCATAATGAAAATCAAGCAAATCCACAAGAAATTGTGTTGAGGGGCGAATATAATTTTTGGCAGAAATGATACGTAAATCAGACGAATTATCGGTTTTGGAGTGAAGATCTGCCAAAAGTATTGCAAAAGCTACCAATGCATCCAGTTAAAGTAACAGTTTAGTCTGGTATATGGACTGGACCGTACTTCTTCAAAGACGCCATGAGTCGTAACGTAACTGTGAATGGTAAGCGCTACCGTGAAATGTTATCCATTTTGTTTTTTTGCCCAAAATGCAAGAGCTTGACTTGCATGACGTGTGGTATCAACAAGACGGTGCCACATGTCACTGGTCTGGGTTGTATGTCCAACAATTATGAAATATTGTCAACACCTTCTCCACCACTTTTATTTTTCTCCCAATGAAAAAAGTATTATCAATTAAAGCTGGTAAACCCTGATTCTTATTTTTATATCCTTCACCATACTATGCATGGCAGAAGAACACGGGTAGATGCATCAACGCTTGGGAGCATTGATATGTCAAAAAAAAAATTAAATGTTTTTTTTCAAATATAAGTAGATTTTTTATATGTTTTCTTATACGACGTCATTCGGAGGCTATTATAATTCGCGTTTTTCAAGAATTTTTACAAATTTATATAATTTTTCATTCAACATGTTCAATTCTAAAATTGGTTTGACAGTTCAGTTGTCCCAACAGCTGTGTCGACGCGTCTACCTATATTCTTCTACCATAATACTATGGATATACTCCTCGAAAGTCTCATATTAGACCCAACAAAATACATATGTTATTGATCAGCGTAAAATTATAAGTCGATTTAGCGATGTCCGTCTGTCTTTTTAATCACTATCTTCTGAACGAATTCATTTAGAAGCTAATAACACATGACAAATAATTTACTTGGCTATGGAGGTTGACGGAGAAGACTCAGTTAAGTATTATATGGATAAACTTAGAAAAATAAGTCCTATGGTATGTATAGATCTAAAGAACTAAATTTAGACATAAGGTATTGAAATATTAATGAAAATATAATTGAATTGAAATTGACGGAGCAGGCTCGCTATTACAGGGGGGTTACCTGGTGATTTTGCGATCAAACAGGAACTTTACCTGGGATTTTTTTGGGATGTCTCTCATTAACTTGAGTGGCCAGTAATATATTGATACAGGAACCTGTGAGCCGAACCCTTTTCGCCAGAGTTCCCAATTACTCGAGCAGCGAAATCGACTACAATCCGAGTGTCATCATCTGGTCCCTGACGGGAGTTCCTGTTTATAATCCAAACAGCGACATTGTCTACAAAGCGAGCGTCATCACCGTAGTCCTCGACGTCGATCCATTAGTGTTTCCGATCATTTTCAAATTGCCTACAAACCGAAAATTATCATCCTTGTCCCCGGACACCCTACGTCCATTCATCTATGAACCGAACTTCATACTCAATAACTAGACGGCGAGCACCAACATTGTGATACCCGATTACCCGCCAATATTCCTATTACCCACGACCTGGACCCCAATGCTTTGTTCCCGATCGCCGTTAGCACCAAACTCTCTTCAGCATTTGCCCTGAGCTTATATACCCATTGAATTAAATTATAATCTAGTATTTAAATTAATAAAATGTCTTCTTTTTTCTCCTAGGAATGGGTTCTACTATTTTCATTCCATAAGGTTTCGTGGGTACTTTCCCGAAATCAGAACAACAATCTTGGCTTAACTATTGTTTAGTAAGAACTCTCTGTTTTTTTTTTTTTTGAGTTTTTCCACATGTAGGTATATGCACCTTGATTCCGGGAAAGTATGTTATTATTGGGGGATGGACCCGGATACCTGTTTATTTGACCCAAAATTCAGTGTCTATGACCCGGGATAGATCCGGTGGCATTTGTAAGCTAATGATAATAGCCATCTAACAAGTAATCACAATTTAGGGGTTTTTGAAACAATTCGGAAGGTGTAACAAAATTGTCGTTATTTTGGACCCGGATATTTAAACAAATCCCCAAAAGACGAAAAAGTCCCATTTTTATACCCATTTTTATATAGTATGGAGGGTATATTAAGTTTGTCATTCCGTTTGTAACACCTCGAAGTACACATTTTAGACCCCACAAAGTATATATTCTGGATCAGCATAAAATTCTATGTCGATTTAGCGTTGTGCGTCCGTCTATCCGTCTGTTCGTCTGTGGAAATCACTCTAGCTTCCGAACAAATTGAGGTAGATTGATAAAATTTTGCTCAAATGTATGTTATATCTGCAGGACTAAATGGGCCATGTAGGTACACGTTTTGCTATAGCCCCCATATAACGATACCTCCCAATATTCGGTATTTTGATGCTTTTAGCGACATTATTCACCGAAATAGTTTCAAATTTGGTATTTGAAGTTCGTAATGGATACTACAGCCTAAGACAGAAAATTTTTTATATAACGGTACCTCCCGATATTCGGTATTTTGATTTTATCGACATTATAACCGATCTTTTTTTAAGTTTCGCATTTGAACATTGTAATGGCAGGTTCATGTCGTCGTGTAGACCTTAATATAATAACTACATTCGGTATTTTTAAGATTTTAACAGAATTTTTAATGGATTTTATTGTTTTTGAGAATTGCCAAATTCGTTCCAAATGGTGGAGGGTATTCAAAGTTCGGCCCGGCCGAACTTACATCTTTTTTACTATAACTAGTGTATCAACAATATATGTGTCCGGGTACGCCCCTAAGAAGAAATATGTTCCCGAAATCAGGGTGCAAATACATACCTCAGGAAAAAAACTTTCAAAAAATCAGAGATTTAGAAAAAATTCAAAATATCTCCCACTAAGTTTGAGTTAAGCCGAGGTGTCTACAGATTAGTGGATCAAATATACGAGTATGCGAGTCCGTCCCCAAGAAAAACTACTTTTCCGGAATCAGGGTGCAAATATCTACCTCTGGAAAAAAGAAATCTCGAAAAATCCAAAATCTCGGCTCAACTCTAGTTTAGTAAAAAGACTTCAATTTTTTCCAGTGGTTGATATTTTCACCCTGATCCCGGGAAACTATTGTTTTTTTGGGGGACGAACCTGGGACCCCAGATTTTTGACCCGAAAATCCGGGTTCAAGACCCGGCCTGGACCCGGATCCAATTACCCGATATAGACAATATAGGTATCGTTGGCTTATGAAAATACCTATCCAACAAGTGGTCACATGATGGGGTAAGTGGTCAAGGTTCGGAAGTTATAGTCAAATGATCGATTTTTTGGACCCGTATTTTCGAAAATATCGAGTTTTTACTAAACTAGAGTTGTTCCAAATCTCTCCCACTAAGCGGTTTTTATAGTTGGTTCTTCTGACCTTTCATACACCAAATTATTGTATTTAATTAAGTTTTTATGGTTACACTTCTCCCTAACCGACTGTAAAACCAACGCACATGTGCATTTCACACAAACATTTCGTCGACAGACGCTGTCCGGTTCAATTTTTTAGCAAATACACAGTCACACACACACACCAGGCAGTAAGGGGTCATATAATTATTTTGTTTTATTTTAGACTTTGAATTTTTCGTACGAATGAACCAAATAAAAGCGGTGGGCAATCTGTAATAAATTGCTTCCAATAAATTATTTGCCAAATTCTATTCCAATTCAAGGTAATTCTGATTGGATTGGTTTGGGCCGGAACAACAACAAAAAAAGTTTGGTAGAAAAAGAATGAAATTCAAATTCTAAGAAGAGTTATTCACCCTTGTGGTCGCTGACGATCATTAATTGAATGTGTACTCTTTCATTCTCTCTCTCTCTCTCTTCACTTTCTCACACTATCAGCAACGCAATTCGGCTCCCATTTATTTGGTTAAATTATTTGTTTGTTTTATTTATTAGATTTGTTAAACCGTGGTCGTTGTTGTTGTTCTTTTTCTCTCTCAGAACAGTTTTGCGCTCTCTCTCTCTTGAAATTTGTATCTTTTGGATTGGAGAAAAATTCTATATTTTCTGTACACATCAATCTTCTGCACATTGTAGCTGCTTCTTCTGTTTCGTTTTTTTTTTTTTCAATTTTTCATATTATGCACATTTGTTTGGTGGGGTGGGTAGGTGAGTGAAAGAGAGTGGGTAATGGAATTCTTGTAATTTTTTTTGAGGGGGGTTTTGATTGGTTTCCTGTCTAAATTAATTTAGGTATTTTAACACTTATTCACTTTTAGAAATTTTCACCTTTAACATCACTTTTTCAATAAACTTAATTTCGCGATATGACAAGGTAGGTTGCTGTCATCGTCATGTGCTGTCGCTGATCTTGAGGTGGTTTGCTCGTCGAACGCGAAACAAAAAAACCCAATTAAACCCGTAATTGAGAATAACTTCTAACAATTTTTTACACGTTTTTTTTTCGAAGAATACTTCGATTGCGGACTAGTACTTTGGCCCCCCCTTGGGAAATGCTCTCAACTCGTAATAGGCAGTCTTCGTTTTTCTTGTCGTCTTCACCGTCGAATTATTGAATAACTGCCGTCTACCCGAATACCGTGTTGAATGCTTTAGTTTATCCACACAACTGAGACTGGCTGACGTTTGGATCGAAATCGTCACTGGGTAATGAGAATATTTTTTTATGACGCACCGGCAACACAATACAGTGGGTACCTCATATTGTGAACACACATACACTGATTGTATGGTAATTTACACAAATGGTAATTTATTTTATTCTGGTTTCAGATACTTGCTCTTATATCTCCCTTATATATTTTTTTCTGTCCGACAAATATAATTGAGTAGATACTTTATCTAAGTCTCACTGTTTCCTGTTGCTACATTGACTTGTCTTATCGTGTGGATCTGTCAGATACAAATTTAAAGTATTCTAGTTAGAAGATACTTTTTGTATAGATTATCCATATTTCGTAGCATACTTTGAGGATTTATTGAAATAAACGAATATGTGTTATGCTATTGGACAACAGATGGCGGTTGTGATGCTTCAATGCTGCAAAGTAAATATTTAACGGTTCGATGTATAGACCAATGAAAACATAGACGAAGGAATGCTATAATTTCAGAAATGATGAGGGTTTGGGTGTCACATTTGAGTATATTGTTACGAAAATACTTGCATATAAAGAATTTACTTAATTTATATGTTTTTCCGATCATTTAAAAATCTGAATTGTAAGGTAAAGTACGAATTTTTCAAAGCTCCCTTCGTATCTCAATTTCCGGTACCAACACTGACTTTAATGTGAAATATCAGGATTTCAGCTCAGCATTTTCCCCCATTATCAAATTTAGTTCCATTAAGTACGATTATAGTACACATATCCAAAAATAGTTATTTATTTCTGGATTCCACCTCTACTTCACCTAATACCAAATATAGTGCCATTCAGTAATTTTTGTACAATCAGCTCCATATTACCAGACTACACATCAACAGCAACTCTAATACCAAATTTTAGATTTTAAGCACTATCTGATCACCCAACACCAAATTGTTCCAAATATAGTACTATTTAGCATTATTTGTGCACTTGTAGTACACATTTCCAAAACAACATCCATCTCCCAATTCCAGATACCAAGAGACCCCTTAATATCAAATTTCGGGATCCCAGCCTACCCCCTTCACTCACTACCAAATTTAGTACAATTCAGTACTTTTCGTTATTATATTAAATTCCAGAATTGTAATCTCTATCACTTAACCCAATACCAAATGTAGCACCATTCAGTACTTTTCGTACGATTATAGTACATATTTCTGAAATCAGCTCCGCATTGCCAGGCTACACCCAATACACCCAATACCAAATTGTGCCAAATATAGTACTATTTTGTACTTTGTTTCCGAAACTACCGCTTATCTCAAATCTACCATAAACCGGGACCACAATACAAAATTTCAGCTTCATCCGTTCACCCTAAACTAGACTGTTTCAAATTTAGTACCATACTTGGTACACTTATTCTTATTGTATCAAACCATGTTTCTCGTTTGAACCAATAATCACATAATACCAAATTGTACTGTTTTAGGAGTTAGTACCATTTTAGAACTTTTCGTAATCCTAAAGGTCGAACTTCCAAAAACCCTTCGGCTCCATTACGTCGTCAAACCTCACTGAAACCTCACCAAAACTACATGTAGCCCCTCATATAGTATAAGTCTGTTATTTTGAAAATGCCAGACGCTATTTCGATCCGAATTCAGGTTATCATGACATATAAACCTTCCTTAAAAGGAATGATATAGGTCACGTAATGGAAACTCAAGTTTTGGTCGTTTTTGGTACCCTTCGCCATATGGCTAGAGATTATGATCAAACTTAGATCGAATACAAAGGGTCGAAAATAGATAATATCGGTCCACCCGATCAAGTACTTCTCCCACAAAGGGTCAATTGAATAATTGTAACTCTTATAAAATTTGATGTAAGAGTCTGATTGTCTTCAAATTACACACATCACAATATTTTTTTAACCCAAGGTCTGGTGTGAAGATGGAATATATCGGTCCAATCCTTCTGGTATATATATATATACAAGGGGTAAAAATTGTGAATATCCATGAAGCTTATTAAACGCGGAATTAACATTCGATTCCATTCAGTCTTCACATATCTCAAATTTCCGTCATCACAAGATCTGTTATAAATATGGTAAAGATCGGACCATTCCTTCTGGAAAAAGCATCCTGTTCTATTCATATTTCACACATCCCATTATTTCTGCTAACACAAGATCTGCTGTGAAGATGGGACATATCGGTCCACTCCTTTGACCCCACAAAGGGTCAACAATTTTTACGGTCCAGGAAGCTTATGAAACGCGAAATTAAAATCCGATATTTCAATCAATATTTCAATCAACACAAGATCCGTTATAACCAGATCTTCTGGTACCTCCCCCACAGAAGGTCAAAATTTTAAATAACCAAAACGATCATAAAATCCGTAATAAATATCCGATTCTCTTTAAATTTCACACATGCCATTATTTTTACTAACACAAAATCTGCTGTGAAAATGGGATATATCCGTACTTCTGGTACTTCCCCCACAATGGGGCTAAAAATTTTGAAAAACAAGCATCCAATTCTCTTCAAATTTCACACATCCAAACATTTTTGCTAATGCGAAATCTGTTTTGAAGATGATAGACGATGATTTTGGCCCTTATTTTGACATAATCTTCAAAAGCGGTTTCTTCCTAATATAGGCATTTCAATTATTATTATTCCTCAATTCAGTCCCCGTTAGATGCAAAAGTCGCTATTAAAAACGATTGTCGTTTTTAACATAATTTCGAATAAAAGGTCCAGTAAAATTGTACTCAAATTTAACGGCGAATCGAAAATCTACACCGATCTTGAATATTTGTGCGAGGATAAGAAAAAATTTCACAAAATCGCCATACATCCACTTGCGCTGGAAAACACAGATAAGAACATAATAATGATATTTTCGGACGTAGATCCGTGGCCACATTTTAATTTGGAGTAAATGTCTCCCGATAACTTCAAATAAATATCAAATGGTGCACATGATTCAGAATTGTCAGAGAAACAACATGTTCTATGGATATTAGTTCTATTGATCACTTCTTCCCACACAAAAAAATCCGTAGTGGATGACAGATTTGAGTTCCCCTTCTAACATTCCATTAGTCAATACATACAAATATAAACAAAGAGGACACATTTTAGCATAGTCAGCCAGACTGACATACCATCCAGACGACGTGCACACATACACACACATTGATGTTGTTGGCTCACATGACACAACACCTACAAACCGCAACAGCCAGAACAAACATTGGGGGGTGATCTACGCTGTGTGTTTGGGATTCTGGGGGTCAAATCATGTTGACACCTATGTTCTGGGTAATTACGGAAACAAGAATTAACACCGATCAGCGAATGTTAAACTGAGCGGGAATGACAACAACCACAGCCAGCAGTAACAACAATTATTCCTAATGCTAATTTTTCGCGTGATTTATAAACTTCACCTTGTCAATGAGAAAAATAAAAGAGATAGAGAGGCAGACAGCCAGATTGCCAGTCAGAAAGACAGACAGCCAGACGAAATGCTTTAGACGAAAGACAAATTTAGCAAAGCCACCAATGGCGTCTATCTGCAGACAGACGCCGATTTACATGACTTCTGACTTTGATGGTCAACAGAACATGGAAATCTAATCAAGCTGATGTTTGAATGTTGGCTGATTTATTGGTGGGGGAGGCAGAATTTCACAATTAAGAAATTCAAATCAGCTTTAAAAGGTGTTTTATTCGAAAGTAATCCTTGGAAGGCTTACTGTTAGAGAAGGTATTTTAGGGAGTTTATTTTGTCCATAGAGGACAAAAGTCCGTGTTAGGCCTTTTTAGTACTCAAAAAGGACAATCAATTTAAAATTCCAGGATTCCAATTCTATCCCTTTATCTAATAGCCAATTTTGTACTATTGAGTACTTTTCGTACAGTTAAAGTGCGAATTTTCAAAACAATCTCCATATCTCAACCTTACATATCAACACAGACCTCAATATAAAATTTCGGGATTACAGCTCTATTCCTTCACCCAATAAAAAATTTAGTACCTTTCGTACAAATATAGTACACACTTCCAAAACCACCTCCATATCTCAATCCAAGATACAATCAGTAATCTAAAAATCAAATTTCAGAATTTTATTTCCATTTTATTTCCCTCCACCCAATACCAAATATAGTACCGTTTTGTAAATTTCGTACAATTATAGTACACATTTCCGAAATCAGGCCCATATGTCCAGGCTACACATGAAAAGCTACCCTAATACCAAATTTTAGACTTCAAGCACTATCTGTTCACCCAAATACCAAATTGTACCAAATATAGTGCTATTTGGCACTTTTTTGCACTTGTAGTGCATATTTCCAAAATTACGCCCTTTTCTCAATTCCAGACACCAAAACTGGTCTTAATATCAAATTTCGGCATTCCAGCTCCATTACTTCACCCAATATCAAATTTAGTACCATTCAGTACTTTTTGTACAATTGTAGTACACATTTCCGAAATCACCTATATTTGCCCTGGCTACACATGAACAGCTTCCCTAATACCAAATTTTAGATTTCAAGCACTATCTGTTGACCCAACATCAAATTGTACCAAATATAGTACTATTTAGTACTTTTAGTGCACTTGTAGTACAAATTCCCAAAAGTACCTCCTTTTCTCAATTCTAGATTCCAACAGAGACCTTATTTCGGGACTCCAGCTCCATTCCTTCACCCAATATCAAATTTAGTATCATTTAGTACTTTTCGTAAATTATAGTACACATTTCCGAAATCAGCTCCATATGACCAGGCTACACAGGAACAACGAAACTAATACCACATTTTGGATTTTAAGCACTATCTGTTGACCCAACATCAAATTGTACCAAATATAGTACTATTTAGTACTTTTAGTGCACTTGTAGTACAAATTCCCAAAAGTACCTCCTTTTCTCAATTCTAGATTCCAATAGAGACCTTATTATCAAATTTCGGGATTCGAGCTTCAT